GAGAGCTCAGGGTTTTAGCTTCCCCCACAGTATGTCGGCTACGCGACACCCCCGGTGCTTACTTACCGTGCACCTGGGGTTTGGACCCTCTGACCCCTCCCTCCAGCCACCTCTGGTAACCACGCATCTAATCTCTTTTTCTGAGTTTGTTGTTTGTTGTTCTAGATCAGTGAGATCCTTTCTCCGCCTGCTTATTTCACTTAGCGTAATGAAGGCGTCATGTCATGAGTGGTAGAACTTCCTCGCTTTTTTATGGCTGAATAATATTCCATTGTGCACATTTATACCACGATGTTTCTATCCGTTCATCCATCCATAGACGTGTCTTGACTACTGTAAATAATGCTTCAGTGAACATGGGGTGCAGATGTCTTTTTGAATTAATGTTTTCATTTTTTTATATATATATTCCCCAAAATGGAATTGCTGGACCATATGGTCATTCTGTTTTTCATTTTTTGAGGAACCTCCATACTGTTTTCCACACTGGCTGCACCAGTTTGCGCTCCCACCAACAGTGCACGAGGGTTCCCCTTTCTCCACATCCTCGCCAACACAGGGTATCTCTTGTGTTTTTATCTTTTTGATCATGGCCATTCTGACAGGTGTGAGGTGGGATCTCACTGTGGTTTCGATTTGCATTTCCCTGAGGATGAGTGATGTTGAGCATCCTTTCCTGTGTCTGTTGGCCGTCTGGATGTCTTCTCTGGAGAAGCGTCTGTTCGGGTCCTTTGCCCATGTTTTAATTGGGTGGTTTTTCTGCTACTGAGTCGATGAGTTCTTTCTGTATTTTGGAGATTAAACCCTTATCAAATGTATGGTTTGCAGATATTTTCTCCCGTTCCACAGGTTGTCTTTGCTGTGCAGAAGCTTTTTAGTTTGATGTTGTCCACTTGTTTATTTTTGCTTCAGTTGCTTTGAGCTTTAGGTGTCACATGCAAGAAACCATCACCAGGACCCACGTCGGGGGAGCTTTGTGTCTGTGTTTCCTTCCAGGAGTTTCGTGGTTTCAGGTCTTATATTTAAGTCTTTGATCCATTTCGAGTTAATTTTTGTGAGTGGTGTGAGGTAGGGATCCAGCTCCATTGTTTTCCACGTGAATATCCAGTTATCCCGGTGCCACTGACTGAAGAGACTGTCTTCTCTCCCGTTCAGTGTCCTTGTCAAAGATTAGTTGACTGTTTATGCCTGGGGTTATTTCCGGGCTCTCAGTTCTGTTCCACTGGTCTGTTTGTTTTTTTGTCAGTACCATATTGGTTTGCTTATTATAGCTCTCTCTCTATATATATATATATTTAAATTATTTATTTATTGGAGAGGGAAAGAGAGAGAGGGCCCAGGAGCTCTTCTGGGCAGATGGGGTTGTGTCTCATACCTTGTCTGGGTGGGGGTAGGGGGCTGCTCCGGGCAACTCTCATTTTCCCAGCCTCTCCATTTGGGAGGGGCTGGGAGCTACCCTCAGCCTCGGCCATGAATTCATCCCCCTGCCTCTGCAGAGCAGGGACACCCTCCACAGTGGGCACTGGATTTGCCCTGGGGGTGGTTGGCTTGCCTTCCTGCCTCTCGGCACGTGTTCCTTGCACATGTTCCTTCCCACCCTCTGGTTGCATGTGGCTGGGAGACCCTCCCCACAGCAAGTTACAGCTCCCTGCCTGTGTGGGGGGCAAGCCGGGCTCTGAGGCCCACCAAGGCCCCTGGTCAGAGTGCGTCACCGACGCGCTTCCACAAGTGAGCGAGGCCGCTGTTGGGATGACGACTTGGGCACTGCCACTGTGAACTCTGTGCCCAAGATCTGTGCCCATTGTTGCGGATTGCTCCACCCCCATCACAAGCCGATTCCGGTGCTCGGGCCCCACTGATCTCCCTGTGCAGCGAGATCAGAGTAGGGGTCCCTAGAAGTGACCCAAGATGCCGGGAGGTGGGGCTGGTTGTCCCCTCCCCTTTCCCCAGAGGCTCAGGGGAGGCCTCTGGGTGGTGGTGGGCAGGTAGGGGAGGGGCAGGGTGGTCAGTGGGGAGCGGCAGCTCTGGCCCTCCCAGTGCAGCCTGTGTTGGTCTCTGTGGGGCAGGGGGTGCTTCTGGGATCTTCTCAGTGGTGTTTTGCTCATGAACAGTTGTTAGCTGTTCTTGTTGTGAAGGGGAGGGGCATCAGCAAAGACCTGTGTCGCCATCGTGGTGACGTCACTCCCTCCAGGCATCTGTGGTTTTAGCAAATACCACAGGTGACAGCAGGTGGTCTGAGGAGGCACCTCACACTGGTTGCGTTTCTTTGGACCCCCACATTCTACCTACTGTATACGGCACTGTGCTGGGGGCCCCTCTGACTACTGTATACCGCACTGTGCTGGGGCCTGGGCAGAAAGGTGGCCGGGATGCCACCTGGGGTCTCAGGGGGACTGTCGGCCCCTAGGGAGGTAGAAACACGCGCAGTCGGAGGCAGTTTTAAGAGAAAGAGGATGGGCAGGGTCGGGATCAGGAATCAGCATGTGCACCCCGGCGTCAGCCTTGGATCTGAGGCTTACGGGTGCCTCGGCCACCTGGGGAGGCCAGCAGGAGCCACCAAGGTTGAGCAGGGAAGGGCCAGAAGCCAGAGTGCAGACAGGGAGGAGCTTCCCCAGGAGGAGGAGCGTGAGGATGGTCGCTGGTCTGCGGGCTGGTTTCCCAAATGGACTGCTCCCTCGTCTGGACCTGCTATCACAGCTCGTCCCCACCTGGGAGGCAGTGGGAACCAGCAGGAACAGAACACTGGCACACTGGCATCACATGGCCGTGGGGTCCGTGCCTGCCTGTGATTGTGACCTTGGACAGGATACTTGATTCTCGAATGTGTGTGTGTTTTAGAATGTAGGTTTTATTACTATTTAGGTATGGAGGGGCCAACAGATCAGAAATGGCAGCCACTGAAAGGAGAGTTGGTTACAGTTCCTCAGAGGAGGGGCACGCCATGCTGCAGGACCCCACATGAGGAGGCGCCAGAGATGGTCAGGGGGCAGGCCACGGGGGGCAGTGCGGGCCTTTATAGCGGTTTCCAGGGAAGGAACACTCTAGGCAGGGTAAGCCGGCTAACGGCTGGCTCGTTTGAATAATTCAATGGGCTGTCCCTGGTTGTCCAGTATCTGGCCCTGAATGATTAGGGTGGGGGGCTAGGGGCCCAGAGGGTGAGAGCCCATAAAGGAGGTGGTTGGGGGATGGGCTCTGGACTGGGGGGTCACGTACTAGCTCTAGGGACAGTCTCTCTGGGGCAGCAAGACCCCAGGTGCGGAAGCACAAGGAACACTTGGGTAATATGGGATGTTAGTGTGGTGGGCAGAATAATGCTTCCCCCCAAAGGTGTCCACACCCTGACCCTGGTGCCTGTGCAGGTGTTCGCTTACACAGTAGAGGGGGCTCTGCACATGTGACTTGAGATGGGGGGATTTCCCTGGATTATCTGGAGGGCCCATGTGCTCAAATGGTCGGAGGCCGGTGGTCAGAGTCAGGAAGAGAAGATGAAGGGGTGGTGGAGGAGGGGCGGGAGCCAATACATGCGGCAGCCCCGGGAAGCAGGAAAAGAGCCTCCAGGAGGACCCCGAGGACATTCCCGACTTTCCATCTCCCAAATTGTAAGAGGGTGTATTTACGTTGCTTTCAGCCACTGAGGTTGTGGTGACTTGTTACAGAAGCCACGGGGTAACTGACACGGACGGGGAGCGGGCCAGCGGCCACGGGGTAACGGACACAGACGGGGAGCGGGCCAGCGGCCACGGGGTAACGGACACAGACGGGGAGCGGGCCAGCACGGGGTAACGGACACAGACGGGGAGCAGGCCAGCGGCCACGGGGTAACGGACACAGACGGGGAGCGGGCCAGCGGCCACGGGGTAACGGACACAGACGGGGAGCGGGCCAGCGGCCACGGGGTAACGGACACAGACGGGGAGCAGGCCAGCGGCCACGGGGTAACGGACACAGACAGGGAGCAGGCCAGCGGCCACGGGGTAACGGGCGTAGACAGGGAGCGGGCCAGCGGCCACAGGGTAACGGACACAGACGGGGAGCAGGCCAGCGGCCACGGGGTAACGGGCGTAGACAGGGAGCGGGCCAGCGGCCACGGGGTAACGGACACAGACGGGGAGCAGGCCAGCGGCCACGGGGTAACGGGCGTAGACAGGGAGCGGGCCAGCGGCCACGGGGTAACCGGCGCGGACGGGGAGCGGGCCAGCGGCCACGGGGTAACCGGCGCGGACGGGGCCACGGGGTAACTGGCGCGGACGGGGAGCGGGCCAGCTGCTCTGCAGGGTGGCCTTGAGGCTCAGAGCCCACGGAGGAAAAGAGCCTGGCTCCAAGAAAATGCAGTACATGTAGCGCTGTGTGGATCTGGGAAGTCCTACCAGGTAAGGGACCTGGTCACACACACTACGTCGCTTTGTGCTTCGTGAATGTTCAATAAATCTTGGGCCCCCTGTCCCTCCCCCGGCAGGTCTGGGGTGTCTGGGGAACCCCGTCAGAGAAGGGTCTCTGAAACATCGGCACTGGCCTGAGCTCTCCGCTCTGCAGGCACCTGGGGCCTCCGTGCCTGTCCCTTCGCAATTAGCGAGCGTGCTGGGGGTCACTTCCTGAATTTATCTCCGTGGGCAACTTCCGTGTCACCCCAGGGATGCTGGTTCCTACTTCCGAACCGCTAGGCCTGTACAGCCTTTGCCACAAGAGGTTGATGTCGTTCCCCCAGGCTGTTCTCTGTCCTTGCAGGGGGCTGCACTGTGGCTCCCTTATGGCAGGGACGTCTTGTCGTGGCCCTGAGACTTGCTGGGCCTGGGGCCGACCATCCACATGTCCTCAGGCTGGTGCCTCGGCCCCCCCAGCACGGGGATCAGAGGCGGGCCGGGTCTGAGTGGGAAGGTGCTGGACTCCGGCCGCCCCTCTCCTAGCTCCCTGGGGGGGCGGGCAGCGGGGCCCCAGGCCGTCCGGAAGCACACGTGGAGCTGCGCCCCCCAGTGCGCTCAGAAGCCTGTCCCCTCTCACAGGGACGTTTGTCTCGGCCTTTGCCGTGCTGTGCGGAGCCCGCACCGACCTCCCGGACAGGCACGTATGCTGCGTCTTCTGGCTCAACATCGCAGCGGCCCTCATCCAGACCCTCACAGCTATCGTCATGGTGGGCTGGATCATGAGCATCTTCTGGGGCATGGACATGGTCATCCTGGCCAGTGAGTACCTGCCCGTGCCGCGCCTTCTGGGTTGGGGGCTGGGCCAGATGCGGGGGCAGGGCTGGAAGAGGGGCAGGCGCCGGATGGTCTGGGTGGTTGTGGTCCTGCAGGGTGTTGGCACCTTGCTGGTCACTAGAGTCTGCAGCCGCCTGGCAGAGGGGACCCTCCCCTCCGCCCCTGCCCCTGCCCACCCCCCCGCACGCCCAGCCCAATGCCTGCAGGGAGTCCTGAGCGCAGACAGGCAGACACCTGAGCCCGAGGGTGTGAACAAGACAGGGCCGAGCTTCTGTTCACCTCAGACGCGTCGGGCATTCTCTGTGTCGAAGGAACTGTCCTGGACCACCCTGGGTAGCTGGGGTGGGGCCTGTGTGAGGTGATGTCCCCTGGGCGTGGCGGCCCCAGTTTCCAGAAAGAAGGGAAACCCACGTGGCATCTGTGCCCAGAGGAAGCCCTGTAACTGTGGGTTGTTTGTTCTGTTTTGTTTCTATAACCAGGACAGAGCGGTTTTCCTTTGACCTAAGCTTTGTTCCCTGTTGAGGGAACCTTCACCACTCAGTTAGCACAAACTTGATTCAGACACAAAACTGTTTTGTGAAAGTGCCTAACATTACAAAGGTCACCGAGATGACTTAACATTTATGAAATAACCTAGCGAGCTCTTAGAACAGATACCGCACGTGCCTCGGAGCAGCCCCACACGTGGCCTGCGTTTTCCCACGTTCTGTCCACGCCGCCATGGATTGCCGCCGACGGGCTGCCTCCACCAGGCGCCCCGTGGTGTCTGACACAACAAAGCCACTCTTAGGCGGGACTGTCAGTGTCAGAGGGAGGGACAGCCGAGGCAGGACGGGCTTTTGGGGGCCCTAGAATGATCTAGAATGACCTGTAGCTGACTCTATCTGAGTTCAGATCCTCGGAGGATGCAGGGCACACACAGATGCCAGGGCCAGGCGAGGCCTCCGGTCAGTGACCAGTTAAGCCGCCGGCCAGAGGAAGTGTAGGCCCCAGAGCCGGAGAGATCCAGCGGAGCCAGTGGATTGGGCAGACTGGCTGCCTGGGAGCAGGTCATCCAGCAGCAGAGGTCAGGAAGGAAGTGGGGAGCCTGTTACCAGGACATCCCAGGCAGACCCTGGGAGGCGGGGGCAGCCAGAGAAATGGGAGGGGGAGAGCAGGCCTGGCTGGCGGCTGGGGGATGGGCTGGCCCTGGGGAGGGCTAGGCTGGGGAGGGTCAGCAGGCTGGGGAGGACTGCTCTCAGGGCAGGCGTGGCCCGTCAGGATGTCAGGGAGGTTGGGGACCCTGGGAGGGGAGCAGGCAGAGGAGTCAGAGACCGAGGCAGGCCCATCTTGGGCGCCTCGCCCTGCACCCTTGACCAGGGATTGCCGAGTCTTGCCGGCAGGCGGGGAGCGCTGCAGAGCCTGAGGCTTCCCCAGGGGCCTGTGGGATGGCTCGCAGCCTCCTGACCCCTTTCCCAGTTGGAACCTGGGAGGCCTGCTCTGGGATGCGTCCTTAGCCACTGTCAGAAGGCCTGACCCCTTTGACTGCTTCCTCCCGCGTCACCCCAGTGTCTGGCCTGGCACTTGGGCACTTGAGGATGGAAACTTTCCACTAAAGTGGAACGCGCCTACGTCACCGGGCCCCGTCACAATAAAAGTGAATTGGCGCCTAGTCCCTAGAGCTTTCTGGTTATTTTTATCTTGGTCACCCTTAAAACCCAGGGATTTCAAAAGCCATGGGGTCTGTATCTTAGAGATAACTAAAAGGGCCCCCTGATCAGGTCCTAGACGAGGAAGCGTGGACCCCGAGAAGTAAGATGGGGACCTGGTTACTTCCTCTCTTTGCACCACCCCAGACTGTGGGCTCAACCAGAAACCCCGGCCCTATGGCTGGTGTGGCTGGTGTAGTTGGGCTGCGGGATACCCAGTACGAGAAGTCCCATTCCCATCCTGCCCCAGGGCCCCGGGCTCTCGCTGTGGCCAGTCAGCTTCTTGGGTGTCTGCACGCTGGCCCCGGGGATGCTGGGTTTTTTGCGCCAGACTTTTCAGACTTAGCTGCACGAGAAAACCCGCCACACCTCGCCGCTGCCCACCAACCGCGCCTGCCCTCCGGACTCAGCCACCCATCTCTGCAGGGGTGCCTTGTTCCAGAAAGTAAACCCACCCTGGAAGGATGCGTAGTTGCCACTCTTGAGATGCGGCGGCAGGCCAGGGTGGCTCTGAGCGACAGCAAAGCATGCATGTCCCGGGATGGCAACTTTGGGGGGAGGTCCCACGAGCGACTTGTCTGTCCTAATCGATAGTTGGATGGGGGCCATTCTTTCTGGGTTTACTCCACCCCTTCCCACAAAAATGAAGGAAACTTCTCAGCTGGAATGGTACAGGATGAGTTTTTTGTTTTGTTTTAGATTTTATTTTTATTTATTTGAGAGGGAGAGAGAGAGAAGGAACAGGGAGGGGGACAGAGGGAGAAGCAGACTCCCGGCTGAGCAGGAGCCTGACGTGGGGCTCGATCCCAGGACCCTGGGATCATGACCTGAGCGGAAGGCAGATGCTTGATGGACTGAGCCACCCAGGCATCCCAAGGATGACCTTCCACACAGCACTGGCCAGGGTGTCATCAGCACACACACCGTCCGGAAAAACCCCTAAGAGGACACGCAGGGAATTCCAGATCTAAGTAGACATTAAGACCAGAGACACAAGCAAGCGGCTCTGTTGATAATAATCACAAGCCAACCACAGCCTGTCCTGGTCGAGGATGGAGAAATAAGCCGTAGTTCTCCGCGCTCTCTGCCCCATGCCCGTGGCAGGCATTGCCCCCCTCATCACGACACCGTCTGCTCATCCATCCGCGTGTTCCCCACACGGGGCTTCCGGCATCTCCATCGGAGATGTCTGCAGGACAAAATCTGTTTGCCATGTCCCGGCCTCCGTCTGTCCCGAGGCATTAGGGTCTATGTATGTGGCTCCTGTCCCTACATGGGGTGACCAGACGGCTCAGGCGGAGCTGGGCTGGGGCCAGGAGGGGGCACCTCAAAATCCTGAGAGTGTCCCACAGCCGTCCCTCCACAGGTGCACCCGGCTGGCGTCTCCAGGCCGGGTGGGGGTGAGCCCAGAGCGAGGGGCAGCGGGTGGCCCCGGGGGAGGAGTGGGCTTGGCTGCTTTGTGGGGCAGGGGTGGGCCCCGAGGGAGCTTCTCGGCGGGGCTGCAGGCTGTGAGCCTGGGGACGGGGGAGCGCCGGCCACGTGCCCCTGCAGCCCAGCGCCCACCTGCGGTTCCCAGTCGCTGGGCCCCGGGCACAGTGCTCACTCGTCCTGATGCCTTTTAGACTTCAGCCAGTCCCTCTGGCCTCTGTTTTCACCCTGTTTTCTCTTTTTCTTTTCCTCCTGTCCCTCCTGTGGCCTCACAACCCTGTGTTGCCCCCAAGTTTCCCAAGGTGAGTCTGCTCATGGGCGTGGGGCCCTGCCCAGGCTGCCTCCCCCGCGCCCCTGCCGCCCCCCTGCGCCCTCCGCGCACACACTCACCGAGCTGGCCGCCGGGCTTTCATCTTGTTTTTGGTTTTTATCTATTTTCATTTATTGTTGTGCTTCTGTTTCTTCTGTTTGTGTTTTCTTTTTGTTTGTTTGGATTTCCAGCTTTTTAGTTTGGAAAACGTAGAAGCATAGACAAAAGTCGAGGGCCTAGTGCACTGAGCCCCTTAGGGCCCACAGGCTTCAACAACACATAGTCACTCCTGTGTCATCTCTGACGTCTTATCTATTTCCTGCATTTCCGCACATTATTCAGACTTAAAATGGGTGAATAATTTGGTAAATAATGAGAGAAAACAACCGTTAGGTCCTCAGAAACTCCTCTGGGGGCTAAGTTGCCAGCTAACGGTGAGGTGGGGGGCATTTCGTCAATTCCAAACTTATAACTTCATCCCTAAATGTTTCAGTGGCTCAATTTCCCCAGGGGTCTTGTGACGACACTGTTGTGTCTTAAAGGCTCGGAGTCCTCGGTCACATTTGTGTCCCAGACGTCTGGCTGATTGAACACACACATAGTGACGGTCTTTTGTGTCCTGTCTTGCTGTTTTCCTTTCCATCCTCCTCTCCGTCCACACGTCCCAGGTACCCGGCGCTGGGGGATGCAGGCGCGCTCTAGTCTTCTGGGCCAGGGGCATGTCGATCACGGTGCCACCACCCCCCTCCCCGGATGCCGTCCTGTCCTGTAACCCCACTAAACCCAAAGTTCCACAGTTCTCCCTGCATCTTTCCGTTCCTGGTAAAAAAAGTCCATGCCCTCGGGAAAAGGTGGACCCTGAGTATAGCTGTCATTCACACCTTAGTGTGAATAAGATCTCATGACCCTGTCGTGGTTCACAGGCACCTCCTAGAGAAATCCTGAAGGAAGCGGGCATCTAACGCTCTCTCCTGTGCTTCTTCCCCACAGGCTACAAGGAGCAGGGCATCCCACAGCAGCTGTGAGGCCGAAGGAGCCGCTGAGAATTCCAGGGCGGTCCCATGGGGGCCGTACCAGGCCGCGGGCGGCACCGGGACCTTTACACATGCTCTTCTGCCGTGTCCTGGGGTCGGAGTGGAAGAGGGGTATTTAAAAAACAGTATTTATTTTGAAAACGCATCTGCTTTTCTTGGCAGGCTGCAAGACTGCCAACCCCCCGCCCCCCTACGCTCCAGAAAGACAGGCTCCCAGAGCATCTCGGCGGGGGACGGGGGGGTTGTGTGGGGGCGGGGTTGCGGACAACAAGGCTGGGATGCTCGGCTCTCCTCTGCCCTGCACGTCTCCCTGCCCACTGTGAGGGCGCCCTGGAGCTGCCAGGTCGGGCAGCAGGGGCTCACCGAGGGGCAGGGTGCGGTGGACCCTTCCTCTGGGTCCCCAGCCCGTCTGAGTGTTTGCGCTGTGGTCCCCTGGGGGCCGCGCCAGGGCAGGATGAGGATGCATACGTCCCCAGCCCAGTGTGGAAAGGCCTGCCGCGCCCTCTTGGGGATGGACCCCTTCTCTCCTGGCCCCACGCTCCCTTACTGTAGCCTACCCTTCACCCACCCCCCTCCTTGCCACTGAAATCTCTGGGCCTGGGTGTGTTTTGACCTTTGTTTCCCTAGAAGGCAGCCCGCGACTTCATCCCTGGGCAAAACGGCTAGAATTGCCAGGTGTTCATACCCAGAATCCCCAGCGCAGGTGTGAGCAAGCACGGGCCAGCAGCTTTCACATTATACTGAACGCCACTCCTGGTCAAGAGTCCTCCTAAAATCCTTGGGGCTGGACGGGTCTCCAAATTCAGAAAACGTGGATTTGAGACAGAATAAGACCCATGTACCGTGCGTTTCCTAACACGCCCGCCATCTGGAGCACCTCCCGACCATTGAGCGCATGACTGTTTTTGCAGAGAATCCTGTGGAAAGTCAGACTAATTGGGATCAATAAAAACCATAAATAGCCTCACCTTGCTTGGTTCAGGTCAGATCTTGGCCTAAATAAGTTATGGAAGAAAACTTAGCATTCAGGGGCTTTTGGGGATTTAGAATTGCAAAAGAAAAAAAAAATCGTATGGGGTGGCAGACTTCTATCTGAAAAATCCCTCTTGCCGATGAGGCCCTGGGGATCCGTTGTTGTTACACAGGGATTCCTCCCATTGCAAAGGGACGGTCGGGGCCTTCACGGCACCTGCCCGTGTGTGTGGTTGTTGGATCCTGGTGGGGGAGGAACTCACAGGAGGTGTTGGGGCCACTGCAGGTCAGGGATTGCTCTGAAATGAAGAGAAAGGCGATCCAAAGTCATGGTGGACATCTACCCGTCTGTTTTAATTTGCTTCCTAACATGAGAATTGCTAAACTGTGGGACTGGCCCAAAGCTGTTTGCAACCCCACTGGGCTCCCCGAGGGAGCTCTTCCTGTCTGTCGGAGATTCAGAATGCGGCCAGGGCTGGAGCAATGACGTGTCTGGCCTTTTCCCCGTGGCTGGATGGGTGTGCTTGGGGAGCCTGCAGCTGGACAGGGCCCCCCCTACCCCGGCTCCCCGAGCCCACTCACCTCACCCGCTGGGCTTTCTGATTATTGTCCTGCCAGGGAAGTGGGCCTTGGGCTCCCTGTGGATTGGGCAGCTCTCGGCACCCAGGGAGAAACAAATCCCCTGCCCCACCCCCTGATCCTGCCCTCCTTCCCTCCTGACCCCAGCCTGGGGTCTGCTGCTTCTTTCGTGTTTGGAGTCCTGTGCGTTTTCAAGGCGTGGGGCCAGCTTTGGTTTTATCCAGAAAGCCAGAAGCTTTTGGTGTGTGAAGACGGCATCCTCTGGGCCGAGAAGATGGCAGCAGGTGGCTGCTGGCTGCGCCCCGGGAGGCTGCATCAGAGAAGGGAGCCAGCCCTGTAGCCAGGCCAGAGCAGCTCGGGCTGAGGGCTGGGCCGGGCCCTTCGCCCCACACGCCCGGAGGGATGCCCGGCTTCGGGCACAGCCCCCACCAGTGGGAGCGGAGGATCTTGCTTTCCTGGCTCGGGCTGGGGCGGCTGCTGAGGGGGAAAGAAGAGACAGCAATTTGTGCAGCATGTTTGGTGGTGATCCAGACACAGGTGGGGGTTTCTTGAGTGAACCCCGGCACGGGATGGCTCATACAGGGGTTTGTGGGCTCGGAAGGACGGTTCCCCTCGGCACTCCCACCTCGGCCCCTGAGGCTCCCCTCGGCCCCAGCTGCTTCCAAACTTGAGAGGACGTCAGCCTCTGGAGGAAGCCCTTCCCGCGTAGCTGATGTGTGCGAGGAATGGGGGCATCCTGGTCCTCTGAACCCCCAGTCTGTGAGGATGGCCGCGCGGGGGAGCAGCTCGAGACAGCGACTTTCTCCATGAGACTGTGGCCCAAGCGTCACTGGCTTAGATGAGGGACAGGGAGGTGAGGAAGTGACCTGGGGCAGGATGGCTTCCCTCCGCGACCCTGTGACGTGGACGACAAAGACAGCCTCCAGATGCTGGGCCCTTGCCAGGCTCGGCGTGGTGCATCTGACCCGCGGTGACCCTTACCAACAATCCTGGCAGGGGGACGTGTTTGCGGACCTTCCAGGTGTCAGGACTGAGGCGCCGGCAGAGCAAGGCCCTGAACACCGTGGCGTAGCTGACTCATGGCCTGTAGCGAAGTCTTGCAGCCGAGGGAAGGGGTCTTGGGGGGTCGGAGGGTTCTCTGGACGGTCTTGCCCGTGCGGAAGTAGCAGGTGACGGGAAGGGGTCTTGGGGGGCTGGCTCCACCACACGCCGTCCTGGGCGGCCCTCCAACCCGCAGCCCAGAGCGGGCAGGGGACCTGCTCCAGGCCTCCCGACCCCCCACGTCCCAGAGGCGTGGCTGGGGCTTGGGCCTCATGCAGACATCACGAAGCCCAAGCCGCAGTGAGGAGCACGCGAACTCTAGAAGGTCGAGGAAGCCACACGGTCAGAATTTCCCCCGCAAGGACCCAGACCTAAGAAAGGAAAGCCGAACACTGAGCCCCGAGGCCACGCAAGGTGGGCTGAGCCCCCAGGCCCAAGAGAATGCCTTCCTAAGGCCTGACTCTGGAGGAGGAAGCGAGGGGTCCACTGAGGTGGTCCTTCTGTGCCAGCCCAGCTCTTTAAAATCCCCCCAAAATCTACAATTTTTTTTGGTGAACCCCATCCCCGTGCAGATGGGGTGAGTCTGCAAGGGTCACTTGGGTGTTGGGCCTGGCCTCAGCTGCCGGGCCCAGGGCGTGAGCCAGCGTGGGGCCCCATCCTGCTCCCGGGGCCTGGAGCCATTCATGACCCTGGATGTTTTTCTCCGGTTGGTGATGCTGACCACCTCGGCGTTGTGGAAATGGCTTGGGGACATATAATCTAAATGTCAGTCCCCAGTCGGTGGTTGCAGGCCCTTGTTGACCCCTCTTGCTGGTTTGTTTGGAGGGCTTTCAACAGAGGGATTGGAGGCTTAGAGCACCCCCAGCTGCACTGACCCTCCCCGGAGACCGTGACCTCGCGGGGGTGGGGGAGCCATGTGAGCTGCTCCCCACAAACCTGCCCGAGGCTGAAGGGAGCCAGGGTGCCTTCTTCTCAGCGGCCCCCCTGTGCTGCCATCAGGCAGTTCTCCCAGGCGGGGCTCCGTGTTCCACAGTTGTGCATCCAGCCAGCATTCAGCGGGCACCGATGCAGCCGAGGGGAGCTCCCAGAGAGCAGCACCCTGGCCATTGCAGTGCTGCACCTGCCCTTCCCGTCCGCACAGGTGGAACAGCAAGGCGGGTGGAGGCAGGAGGGGCGCTTCTCCCTGTGGAGGAGGCCGCTGCGTGTGGCCAGGAGGCCACAAGGCCAGGCTGCGGGAAGGGGGGTTGGGGGCCTCCCGAGCAGGTGGGCACTGGTCGCGTTTTTCACCTGTCAGGCTCTGAGAGCTTCAGAACGTCTGCGGGATCACGGAGGCGTGCAAGCCAGGCTGGACTCGCGAATCTGCCCTAATCCCTGTGTGATGCGTGGGGAACCCCACGCCGCAAACACTGGGGCGAGTTCCAGCCTCAGTGCTGTTTGTCTCTACTCCTGTCTCGTGCCTCAGTTGGACCATCCGTAGGCGGGGCAGGGAGGGGCTGGGAAGCTGATGCCGGTCCCATTTCTGTCAGAGCAGAGGCCTTGGAGCACGGGCCCAGGGCCATGCAGCCGCGCTCCTGTGTGGGCCTCATGGACTTGGCACGCGGGGACTCTTTCTAGTGACAGACACGGGCGCTCTCTCCCCTCCCGATCCAGTCACATGGGAGGCCGATGACAGGGCCGTCCTTGTAGGTGTCCTGAGTGTCCAGTACAAGTTGTCTCTTTAGGTTTAGTCCCCAGTCCCTCTCCCTGCCTGCCTGGATTTGCCAACATGCCAGCCACCCCAGGCCAGGCCACCGGCACCCTAGGCGGGCAGAAGAACAGACACGTGCTCGCTCTCTCACACACGCGTGTGCACCACCCCCTCCCCCCCGCATGCTCACAGCCCCTCCGGCTGCTGGGTGAGGGCAGGTCTCAGGCATCCGCAGAGAGGCCCTCACACTGCCCGGGAGCCGTCCCTCCAGCGTGGGCCCTGGTGGGTGGCACTTGTCCTTGTCACCCCACCCAGGGCCCAGACGCACACAGTTCCCTTGATCCGAAGGGCCCCTGGGCCAGGAGCACTTCCTCCCGGGGTCCATGGCTCCACACCCCCAGCCACCAAACCCGGCTGGCCTTCTGTGGGAGGGCTGGCCTTCTGGGTCTCCCAGAGAGGAGGGGACCGTGAGCCCTTTCTGGGCTCTTCTGAGGCTGCAGACAGTCATCCTCACCATCCCCCCTCCCCCCCAGCCCCAGGATGAGAAGCAAGTGAGAAGAGAAGGGGGCAGAGGTCACGCCCACCCCGCTTTCTGGGTGATGCCTGGCTGGGTGTCCCAACCAGGGAGCTGGTGTGGTGGCCGTAAGTGGCCGGGGCGCCCCTTGGACACACTTGGCGGGCCCTTTGCACAGGCTAAGGGACACATGCTGTTGTAAATGGTGCCAAATCTTTGAAAACAACATACATAAAAACAACACTGGTTCTGTGCATATTAGCTGAATTTATATTTGGATGAGTGTTGTGCTGTGATTTGTAGTTTTTGATACGTGAGCAACTTTGTTTGGGTCTTTCTCCCCTTAAAGGAATCACTGTCCGTTTCTGTTGTTCTCTGCCAAGACCCTCTCCCTGACCTCCCAGGGCTTCCTCAATTTACTTCT